ATTTTAATTATGTCTTATCTTCTCCTCTAGAAAAACAACTTGATTACAAGAAGCATTTGGTTTTTTAGTACTTCTAGCCTGGTCAACATCAACCAGAAAAAACTCTCTATATACATTAAGTTGTTTACTTAATTGAATTAACTTCTCCACTAATAAATCCAGAGGGGAGATAAATGGCTACTGAAGTAGAATATCTTACTTCTTGTAACTACAAAAGCTTTAAGGCTAAGACATACCCAGAGGTCCCTATACATAGAACAATACCCAGCAAATGTTACCTTATCAATTTCTCAAGCCATTTGTATTCCAACTCACTGGGGGGAAAAACAGTCAGTGGCAGAAAAAGGCCAGTTACTGAATTAAGTTATATACTTAAAAAAAAAAATTTACTCTCTGAGGAGGGAAAAAAAATCGAAGTCCATTAGTTCTTCAGCAACCATTTCATTACTTAACCTACTGAAGACTCACCTAGAACAGCAGTGCATGAGTGCATTTTTATTAAGGACACCATCATGGCAAGAACCCACAGCCAACCATAAGCTGAGACAAACAATGGTTCAGGGAACATCCTTACCTCTGAAGAGGCTGGTGCCATGTGGAAAGGCAACATGTCCACACCTTTCCCATGTCTTTTTTTATCATCTACTCATTAGGGGCCTTGGCAGGTTTTGTGCAGATAGGAGCAATAGCTTTCTTCAAGCCTAGGGCATTCACCTCTATACTCTCTTGATTAAAAATCATTTCCAAAAAGGTACAATAAAGGCATCTCCTGGGTGCAGCAAAACCCCCCAAAACATGGCATACTGACTGCACTTCCCTAAATGGAAGACTTCACCCACCATGGCCTTAATTTCGAACACATGGTTTTGATGAAAGCCATTCAAATGCTCGTGAAGATATTTACAACTTTTTATATGAAATATGCTCAAGTATTGACAAACATTAAAATAAAGCCTAGGTTGTAAAATAAAACAACTACCACAAACAGTCTCCCAAACCCTTTGAGAAAAGGTATATTGTGAAGAACTAGCAGAGGCGAGCTCCCCACAAGTTTCATGTCTAGTTCCACTCTGCGATCTGTTCCCAGAAGCCAAGTCTTCAAAATTCCTTCACCGACCCAACTTTTTAAGGCAAGCAGTGGCAGATCTGCACCATTCCTACCCGGATGTCCATCCACATCCATTCAATGTTCATGTCCTTGCTTCTCTTTCTTTCTTCTTTAGATATTTGCTCAAATCCACTCCTATTAGCACATTTTACATTTATTAGACAGTCAACTAGAAAACAAATAGTTTGAGGAACTGACTAGGTAACATGGTATTAGTATACAAGATCATAGCCATACAAACCCAGGACCAAAATAAGGACCAGGTACTAAGAAATAAGGCACTCTTCCAAAGACAACCTAAATCAATTCCTATTAGCATTTGTTCTGTTTGTCATAAGAATGAGTTTAAAAGAGGCAACTCTTTATTTGATGTGGGCCAGTTGTGCTCTTATGTTTTGAAGAACATAAGGGGTAAAACTTCAGTGAGAGTAAGTTGTCCCTACTCCAGAGAAAAGGGGCATGATATTATCAGTCAATGTGAAGGAGTGATGCCACAGTTCTATAGGCTGGTAAAAATGTCTGCTAGGCCAAAGGATTTCACAGAATCTTCTTTTTTAAGAACAAAAAAGAAGGCTCTGAATAATAAATAAGAAGAGTGAAATAATTCTGAAGTGACCACGAGGCATGCCGAGCCCCATTCCCATTAGTCGTGGCCAAAGATGAAAGGAAAAACTCTGCAAGCATCCCTTCACTACTATAAAATTTTAGTATTTTCATATTATATTATAGTTAGCATTTAGTTAATAAAATTCCATCCACTATTTATATCCTAAAAAGCTGTCTTCCTTTTGTACTCTCAGTGCCACTGGGAAACTTCAAGGTAAGCTGACCCAAAGAACCTCACAAGTGTGCTCGAGGGAAGCATCTGACTTCATCCCTTCTAAAAGTTACTATATTCAAAGTCCTTTATTAATTAATCTGTTGTCTGTCACTGGACTACCTTTAACGAGGAATCCGTTCCCTTCAGTTTTAAGGAAGACATGATTTGTTAGGGTTATAGGCAGAAGAAAGAGATGAGGTACATCACTGGACATGAGGCTGGACAGCCAGGGAGGAGGTTCCATTTTTCAGCTGACCTCTGAATCTGCTATGGTCATTCTACTGTGTGGATGGCTGATATAAGGCACTATGATTATTGGATTTCTTGCTACTACCTGATACAATGCCAAGAAAAGTCTAGGAGAATGCACCAACATGTGTTCTTTTTCTTTTCCTTTTATTTTTTTTAAGTTTTTTTTTTATTTATTTATGATAGTCACACAGAGAGAGAGAGAGAGAGAGAGGCAGAGACACAGGCAGAGGGAGAAGCAGGCTCCATGCACCGGGAGCCCGACGTGGGATTTGATCCCGGGTCTCCAGGATCGCGCCCTGGGCCAAAGGCAGGTGCCAAACCGCTGCGCCACCCAGGGATCCCTTCTTTTCCTTTTATATTTACTAAATGACCGGGACTTCCTGTGAAAACAGTAAGAAGTATGTCTTTACTTTGCATATCATGTCAGCAAATTATTAGTCTATGTAAATGTGACCAGTTATTCTTTTTAAATTTTATTTTCAGGAAAAGAAAGAAGTGCACAGCTTTTTAAAATTTCCTCAACTACTCTCCCATTAAAAGCAGAAGAATGGGATGCAATAATCAGACTGAAATAAGAGAAAAATTTAAGCAACATCTCACCTACCAGCATATAACTATCTATACAAGGGAAAATCCAAAGCAAAAATACAATACTTGGGAAAAATTATTCAAATGTTTCAATGTGTGAAAGCAAATGATTTAGTGAGAGATTATCATCAATTAACAGCACTCTGTTTTTCGCTGGGGATTTAGAAAGAAAATAGCAATACAATTTTTTTAAGGGAAGGAAAAGTATGCTTTCTGTATTCTAGAATAATGTTACTCAAAAAATAAATAAAAATGTTTAAGAATGATGGATTTAATAAAATCTACATATGACTGCCTAGAAAATACAAGGTTGTGTGGGTTCATTTGGTTTGGTTTGGTTTTTTGGATTTTTGTTTCCTTCTGAAGAAGGGAATTGATTCAGATATCCCTAAAGTGGAGATAGAGTCTTTAGAAAGGAAGCGCACATTTAGAAGGCCAAGAAAGAGTTATGCCACCAAGAGGTCTGGAAAATGGCCCAATTGAAGCCTCCCTTGTCTGTCTGAGCAGACCTGAGCTAGTAAGAATGCTTACGAGAAGAATCTCCCACCTGACCGGACAGATAGACCAACCTAGCACCATCAGATATTCCCGCTATTAAACAGTGTTTTAATCACTTAAACAGAATGTTTTAAGTGCCCCAGGTTAAGGTTATTAAGGCTGAACAAAATTCAAAAGACACGGTGTAGCTGCTACAATACAAGAGCTAAGCAAGCTTAGCCTCACAGAAATCCCAGAATTTACAGCTTCTGCTAACAACGGCCATACTAGGAGACTGATCCTTACCTAAGAGTGTTTAAAATACCGTAAGGCACACAGGGACTGCATAGAAGGTACATGTTTCCATTGTATACAGGCGCTCTGGAGGGGAAAAAGTCTATCTTGAAAAACAACTTCCAAGACTAAAGTGAAGACCAGAGGGCACTGAATGCCAGCCACTGATTTCTCTTCCTCCACAAAACACCCGAGCTAGTCATGGGGCATGTCTATAGGCTGCTTGCTGCACCACTAAGCAATTCTTGATGGTTCCACAGATGCTACATTCTCAAAGACAGGTTTTTAATTTGTTGCTAATAAAGACTTGGGCTTTTCAAATGGCTACAGATTACGGAGACTTAAAAATCCTTCCTAGATTTCACTTTATTAAAGAACAACGCTGAGTTTGATCAAATAAATGTTACCAGTAAAGTGTCCTAATACACTTTAAAAACATCGTCAGAGATTATCATTCTTCAGTTCCTCTTACTGAAATGCAAGGAAGGTCGGAGACAGCCAGCCACTTTGAAAGCACTGCTCCAATTACTCAGCAGGCTTTGGAAAAGAAGCCTTAGGCTCTGCACAAAGGTTTACTACAGGAGATGCTCAGATAACCTTGACCATCCTTTGTAGGCTGTAGTGCTCCAGAAGAGCCAACTCCTTAGGCAATTTGCTTCTGCTTCTAAAGAAGTTAACAGGTAAGAAAAATCCCCAAGTCTTTGCTTCAGCAAAACCAAAGAAACCTACACATCCCCAAGACACTTATTTTATCTGAATTTAAGAGTTTAACTTATTACACCATTTGGAGCTTGTGGAAATGTCTCTCTCAATCTGAATGACACTGTTGTTTTTCTCAGTAAGAGTACATACCCTTTTACAACTGATGAAAATGTCCATTGAAACATTACAACAGGCCTAAAGTGGGCCTGGGTTCATACCTGGGAGTAATAACCAAGGGGAACCACTCTGAGACCAGGGGTGACACCCACATGATAAATGTCAGGCAGATCATCCAACCACCTCTCACTTTTTCAGGATAAGCCTGACATTCGAAATCACACACTAATGCAACACGGTTAGCATGGGCTAAGGTGTCAACTTCCATCAAATTTTAAGAAACACATAGATTTTTTGGAACGGATTTACTGTGCAACAGGAACATAAGTAGGTAATAAAAACCTTCTTATTGTTAATTTAAGTAGCCAGAAAAAAAACCCTGAACTATTTTATCTGTAAAGATGACAATCTGAATTCAGAAATCAACGAGTACAAACTGCACAAGAGTTTCCTTTCCTCCCCAATTCCATTTCTGCCTTTCAGCAGCAAAAACAATGAAGGAGGAAAAACCAGTGAAGAACAAACACAGGGTCCACGTGTGACAAATCTGCATATCCCTACAAGGAACAGGCCTCCTAAGCATCGGCAGCCAAGTGGCACTCCCTTCCCCCACAGGACTTCGTGACTACTTCACCAACTCACCTTCTTCCACGTCAGAGTTAGTAATGAATCCTGCTTTTGAGTCCAACTTGAGGTATTCTCTCAACACCTGGATTAAAATAATTATCAACTTTAGCATAATAAGGTTATTTTCGAATTCTGAAAAACATACAATTGTCCCTCACAATATTAAGGGGGGAAAGATCACTGCTACAAACCAAATCCTAACTGTGAGAGGATATACTTACTCTACCTCTAAAACTCTCCTTCACTGGTCATCTCTTTATGTGTAGTTCAACACATATTTAAACATAAGCCAACCAACAGCCACTCCTACTTAAACAACAAATTCCTAAACCCAGTTATTCAGTCTCTAGGCAGGTTGCTGATCCAGGGCTGCAGCCCGTATCATCCATTCAGGAAGTCTGAGGAGAAACTCAGGAACTCGAATGTGTACGAAGTGCACCAACAAGGTGATGCTGATGTAGTCAGCCTGTCCGTGCCCAGGGGAACCACTGTTCCGAACCAGTGGTTCTCAACAGGGGGTGAGAACACCAGGAGATATCTTGCAATGTCTGGAAATATTTTTGGTTGTCTCAACATGGGGAGGAGGTATGCTGCCAGCATTTAATGGGTAGAAGCCAGGGATGCTGCTAACCCCATCCTACTGCACGGGACAGCTCCTCACTACAAAGAATAATCCAGCCCCAAAGGTCACAGCAGTAAGGTTGAGAAACCCTGTTCCAAAGCAAACAGCTATTCTGATCACTTAGAAATTTTACAATTCTCAACTGGTCCTTTCAGATAGGCTATAAGCTCCCACTAGAGACAGTAACATTTCCTGTGACTGGTAAGCTTATCATTACTTAAAGGAATATGACCATGCTCCATATTAATAATATACAGTACATGTATCCATTCTAAAAATATTAAAATAATCAAGTACACATGCCCTTAAGAGCCTTCCAAGAAACTAATTTTTTTAACGTTCACTGAGGTGAAATGCTGTGTCAGACTACAACTATGCTAACTTATTAGCCCCACAACTTTGTTCCCAGACATAGAAAATGGAAACTAAGAAGAGTGAAAAGAACCAGGGCTTAGTTTCCCTCACAGATATTCCCCATTCCTGGCAAGGCCAAGAGGGGTGAAGTTCCTCTTCCCGGCTTCTCACCCTAGATAGTAGGACTCCCATCACTGATTAAGCCAAATATGCAGCTAGGTACTTCAAAATCCACTTTAAATGTTCAAACGGAGCCTACCATGACTTTATGCAGACAGCAAAACAGACCCTGGCAAGACCTTGTAGCAGGTCTTTCCTCCCCTACTGCAATCACATGGTGCAAAGAGCAGGGGGGCACTATGGGGAAAAGAAACCTATAAAGTCAAGTTTCCCACATACTAAACCCTGCAGTTTCTACACGATTGACCAATACACTTAGTCAACTTATTTCCTTAGGCTGCATCCACAGCCTAAGAAAATAAGTAAGGACACCTGTAACACTCAAAACACATGCTTTGTTTTGTCGAGCTTAATTAATGAGCTGTAACTAACTAATTACATAACGAAGACATATCTGACAGCTGACATGCACCAGTAATCTGGCTAGATTCATGAACAAACATGCAAAGTTTAAACCAAATGAAAGGATATGCTACATGAACACACTTAGGAAGATTCCATCAGAATTAGTCCATTCTGACTGGACGTTTCCTCGATGTAGCATGTGAGTTTATATTTTAATTATAGACTGAATTCTTTCTCTGAGTCCCCAGTGTAGAAAGGAACTATGTAAATCGTACTCAACCACAATTACCCAGGCAGTGAGCACCTGGGTGTGCGGCGGGCAGACTGGCATTCGCATCCCCAAGGATCGGTGGGGGGGCTGGCAGGGTAGGCTGGATCTGTGTCAGAGGCAGCCCTCCCATCTGGAGCCCCCTACCCGTGCTCCGGGAACCTCTACAAAAGCCAAATCATTAGGAAGCTTTACTGAATAATGTTCTTGTCCAAAGGAAGGGCTAATATCCATTCTAGATTCAAGATGCCTGTGAAACCAGTGTAGAGCCCATCACTTCTCCACTATAGATAGAAGACCACTGGGGAAGGCAGCCTCAAACAAAAGCCAAAAAACTAATGACCTGGTCAAAGATGACTTCTTAATACCCATCAGCGGCTAAGAGAACAAAGCAGAGTACTTTTTTTTTTTTATTAAGCAAAATAATTTCCAGGCCTTCCTTTTTTTCTATAAAAAAGGAAGAAGGGAAGGCCTAAAAATTACTAGGGAGGCTCAGAAATATTAACACACAGTGTGAAATCTACTTAACCCAACCTCATTTTTCTAGACTTAAAATCAGTCTTCAAATAAAAATTCATAATCAAATTTCAAAACATAAACACTTTATTTTTTTTCCTCTCACCAGTAAAATATATTCTGTTCCAAAAAAGAAAGGTTGCTCAATTTCCTGTCAAAAGCAATCCAGAGAAGGCCACCTACACTGTAAAAGCAGCAAGAAAAAAAATAACAAAATGCTGAAGAAAAGCCTGCATGTGTGGGTGTATACTAAGTGCAATGTAACTACCACTCTGGGTTTTTAAACGCTTTTTTTCCTTGATCATTCTGAAAAATATTAAAATTAGTGTAGCTGCTAAAGAGAAATTTGTCCTCCACCCTACCTAAGGAAAACAAGTCCGATGATGGATTTCAGTTCCACCACAGAAAAAAGTATGGGTGGACATTCAATGCCTTTAACCCATGATTCTTTGTTCTAACAAGAAAGGGCAGACTTCTACCAAACAGATAACTAGCACATCATGTTTTCAGAGAGGGAAGGCTGCTCTGACAATTAACCTTCTCCCTTAGTTCCCCTACCTTTCCCTGACCCTCCTCCCAAACCTTAGAACTTTTAAAGTATGACCAGCTTGGTCCTGATATGCTTCATCCTAAACCTCTGGGGGCTAACCACTCAGGTAACTGCCCAGCTTATGATTTAGTATAACATCGAATTCATCACTCTGTCTATGTAATTCCCCTTACCCTGTTTATGCTTTCTGAAACTCTAAATTCTAAAACAGCAATCAACCAGCCCAATACCTTATACTAAAAGCCTAATGAAATATGTTCAATGCTAAGGTAGATACAGTGTGCTGAAAGAAAAGGAGAGAGAGAGAGAAAAGGAGCGCTTGAATAGCTCCCCAGCAAATTGAGGATAAAAGAGTAAAACATACAAAGTCAAAATTATATATAGTATTATCACTAAATTGTAACAATAAAAGGCCCTATTTCTATAAATCATACTTTCCATGAAAAGGAGTTTGTCACAATAAATAATGAGCAGGGGAAAGAACATATTAATGAAATGATGGTAAATACTTTTTTATTTTTGTTTTATTTTCTTTTGTATTGTTCTATTTTAGTTGGCTCTACGTCCAGTGTGGAGCCCAATATGGGGCTTGAACTAACAACTCTGATATCAAGATTTGAGCTTAGATCAAAAGTCAGATGCTTAATGGAGGGAGCCACCCAGGCACCCCATGAAATAATGGCAAATACTCTAAAACCAATACACCAAAAGACAAGTCAAGATGTGGCATAAAGCCTACACTATGGGGCAGCTGCAAGACAAGACAACATGAAAAAGCAAACCTCTTAAACCTTACAAATGATTTGTCCGATAAGCCAACAAGTAACTACTAAGTCAACTAATACGAGGGGCTTTTTGTTGTTTTGCTTAATAATCTCAGATCAAAAAAAAAAAAAAAAAAAACAACCCAAGACTAGTTCATACAAATAACTTTATTTCTCAGAGTCACTTAAGAGTAAGTAGCCAACATGTAGTATCACCCCTACAGAGTTTAGACAGTAATTTCTATAAATGAGGGCATTCTACAAAACTGCAATTATGGTCAGGAAAATCATCAAAATTACATAGTACCATCATCTAATCTGCAGACCAGATCTTACACCCTCCAATTATCCCAATAATGTCCATTTTAGTAAAAGGGTCCAATCCATTCAGGATCTCATACTGTACTTAGTTTTCACATCTCATTAGTGTATTTCAATCTAGAATTCCTGACTTTCTTTGACATTCGTGACCTTGACAACAGTGAAGACCAGGCCAATTTTGTAACATGTTCCTTAATTTGGGTTTGTCTAATACTCTCTTATGATTAGTTTCTAGTTACGAATTTTCAGCAGGAATGCCAAGGAAGATAGTTCCCCTTGTTGTATCCTACCAGGTGATACACTATGTTAATCTTTTTCCCATACTGGTAACATGAACTTCTATCACCTGATTTAAGGGGGGGACTCTGTCAGATTTTCACTGCAAAGTTATTCTTTCTACTTTGTAATTTTTACGTACTTTGTGGTAGGATACTTTCAGACTATATAAATATCCTACCAACAAACTTTGACCCAGTATTTGTGTCCTGGGATAATTCTTGGCCAAATTAATTATTTTATGATGGCTGCCAAAAAGTGATTTCTAGTCTAGTAACTCCTACTATTCTAGAAGGGGGAAAAGTGGTATTTAGAAACCAAGATCAGGGTGTGCTTATTGCAAATGGGTTATAGCTGCTCCTAGCCAGGAGAACAGAAGTACATGCATACATATACACACACCTCCTTCTTTCTTTCTATATCTATGTCTATTCCAGATCAGGAGTTCATGCAGATGGCCTGAATTCCTGCCCAACCATGGGGTCTTTCTAGCTTTCCCCTCTCCCTTCCCTATAATAGTAGTAAACCCAGCTCCCAATAATCCCTTTTTCTACTTGGACTCAGTGCCCCATGTCACCTTAATGCTACCCCAACCTCTGATCTAGTATCAGAAAAAGCCTACTCTCTTTAAGGGACCAGTAAGGGAGAAGCCCACAGAGACAAAAACATTATTAGAGACTATATATTATACCATTTTTTGCAGAACCCAAACAGGCAAGGCTAAAATATAGTTTACAAATATATTCATTTTTTAAAGCAAGGGAATGCTGAAAATTCAGGATAGTAGTCACATCCAGACAGAGGTAGAAGGATGAGATCATAGGGGAACACACAACTTCAAAATACTGATTGTGTTCTAGTTCTTGGTGAGAACCTACCAGCCCTA